GGAGGAGGAGGAGGACGAGGCCAGAATCCCTGACGGTACCTCGGTTTTTGGAGGTCTCTCTGGCTTCTGCACGTTCTCGGCTCTCCGAGGCCCCGAGATCGCCCAAAAGGGGCCCCCGAGATCGCCCCGAGGGCCCCCAAGAAGGCCCCGTGACGATCCCAAGAAGCCTGCAAGACGGCTCCAGGAGCGCCTCCTCCTCCTCCTCCTCCTCCTCCTCCTCCTCCTCCTCCTCCTCCTCCTCTCCTCTCTCCTCCTCCTCCTCCTCCTCCTGGCTCTGGACGAGGAGCCTCCTCGCAGGCGCCCGCCGCCATGCTGTCTCCCCAGGCCCCAGACATCATGATTTGTGCATGACGTTGGCCCCCAGAGGTCTAGCGGGCGCCAAGACGGTTTATGAGGCCCCAAGACGCCCAAGCTGGCCTCAAAAACGGCCCTGAGGCGCCCCCAGAGGGCCCCTAGTCGGATCGGAGAGGCATCCAAGACGGCCTCCGACGTCAGGCGGGCCAGGAACGCAGCAAGACAGCCAAAGAGGCCCCGAAAGGCCAACAAGAGGCTCAAGCCCCCAAGGACCTCCATAAGGCTCCCAGGAAGCTCCCAGGAGGCCCCAAGAGTGGCCCCGGAGGCTTCCCAGAGGCCTCCTCCTGCTTCTCCTTTCTTTCTCATGTTTCCTCCCTCTCCTCCTTTTCCTCACCCTTCTCCTCCTCCTCCTCCTCCTCCTCCTCCTCCTCCTCCTCCTCCTCATCCTCCTCACCCACATGTTTCCCGAAGGGCCTCCACAACGGCTGGGGGAACGCATGGTCCAATAGCGTGGCCAAACTTTGCCCATTTTTTAAGGGCAGGGGGCGGCGGTGATGGGCCGTCGGCGTCTGCGATAATGAATCCGCACAATGTATGTGTGCCTAAATGCGTGAAGAGACACTCCTTGTGACAACTCTTCGAGTCAACGCAGCCCAGGAGCAATTCGGAAGAACACACTTTGGGATCACTCCAACCCAGCCTGCGCTCGGAACGGAAAAACATGTCATTCCGACCTCTTCATTTGATTCACTTCTGCCTAGGAACGACTACCAGCAGACTTAGCCACCAACGAACGGAGTGACCCCGAGGTCCCTTCGAGTTCGCTCGTCGTCATTGCTGTCCTCCCAGTCAGAACTCGTCTCGAGCTCACCTGTTGTGCCCATCTGAGGCACCACGCCCTGCACCGAAGTGCCGAGGCGATGGCCAGGCCGCAGGACTCCGCGCACTCGTCCGACAAACAACTGGGCCGCGGCACGCAGCAAACAATTGGTGCAGGCCATGCCTGCTGGGCCACCTCTTCCTCCACCTCCACCTCCTCCTCCTCCTCTTCCTCCTCCTCCTCCTCCTCCTCCTCCTCCTCCTCCTCATCATCATCATCATCATCATCATCATCATCATCATCATCATCTCATCATCATCATCATATCATCATCATCATCATCATCATCATCATCATCATCATCATCATTCATCATCATCATCATCATCATCATCATCATCATCATCATCATCATCATCATCATCATCATCATCATCATCATCATCATCATCATCATCATCATCATCATCATCATCATCATCATCATCATCATCATCATCATCATCATCATCATCATCATCATCATCATCATCATCATCATCATCATCATCATCGTCATCAGCATCAGCATCAGCATCATCAGCAGCATCATCATCATCAGCAGCAGCAGCATCAGCATCAGCATCAGCATCAGCATCATCATCATCAGCATCAGCATCATCATCATCGTCATTGTCATCATCATCATCATCAGCAGCAGCATCATCATCGTTATCATCATCAGCATCGTCATCATCATCGTCATCAGCATCAACATCATCATCATCATCAACATCATCATCATCATCATCATCATCATCATCATCATCATCATCATCATCATCATCATCATCATCATCATCATCGTCATCGTCAACATCAGTCCCGTCCAGTCCCGTTGCGGCCAGTCCCGTTGTCATCGTCAACATCAGTCCCGTCCAGTCCCGTTGCGGCCAGTCCCGTTGCGGCGATCAGGTTGATGGCCCAGCCTTGCCCTCCAGGGACTCCATGACGCGATGTTGTCCGCGAATAAAGCGAGGGGCCGTCTCCCTCGCGCCGCCGCTGGCTGATCACGCCCAGCGCGGCCGGCGGCGTGGGCCCCCTCGTCGGGGCCACCGCGCGGATTACGCCGCGGCTTCTCGACCATCCGCAGCTCGCGGAGGATCGTGGACAGGGCTCGCTCGGCCCCGGTTGCTGGAGGCCTCCTTAAGGTGGGCGACGCCGCCGTCGTCGAGCACCTCTGGCATCTCCTCGCCCCTCGTCTGGAGGCTCTCCACGAGGAGGAGGAATACCGGCAGAAGCAGCCGCTGCCAGTTTCGCCGGCACCCGCCCCAGCAGCTTGCCGAGGACCCTCTCCCAGCTGCCACCTGCGCCGAGCGCAGAGCCCTGCGGGTGCGCTCAAAGGACCTCTGCCAGCGCCTCCTTGTGCACCCCGGCTCCAGGGATGAACGGCGCTGGCGGGACCGCCTCCTCTGGGGCAGCCTTCGCCATCGCCAGGCGCAGCTCGGCCAGCAGCGCCAGCGCCGAGGTGCCGGCGTTCGCGACGTCGGTCTCGTGCGCGTCCAGGTCGACCTTCGCCTCGTCCAACGCCGCCTGCGCCATCGCGCTTCCCGCCACCTTGGCCTCGGTGGGCGCGCAAACCTTCTCCCGCTTAGCATGGAAGCAGCCGAGGCGGTTCGACAGAGCTCCCACCTGGGACCTGGGCCTGCGGCGCCTTGGCCTCCATGCGCGCAGCGCGCAAGGCCGCCAGCTGGTCGTCCAGGACCTCGCTGATTGCGCTTGGCGATTTGAGCTGCTTGCGGCGCGCGATCTGGCCCTCCAGCTCCTCGATCTGGGCCACGCGCTCGGACTCCTCGTCCGCGGGCTCCTCGGCGGCGGGCTGCCGCACGGCGGCAGGCCCCTGTGCGCTGCCGCCCGCCCCCAGCCAAGACTTGCTGGCCGCGAGCACCCTCTCGAGGCTCCTGACCAGGCCGAAAAGCTCCGTCGAGCCGGCAGCGCCCGTGCCGCCCGCACTGCCATTGCCACCAGGCTCCGCGCTTCCAGCCTTGGCGAGGTGCTCCCCTGGCCTGCCGCGCCCAAGCGGGCGGCGCGGCGGCCCCGCAGGCGCAGGCCACCCGGCAGACCCAGTTGGCATCGCGGTCGCAGCTCGAGCAGGCCCACGCGGGGGGCTGGGTGCCGCGGAGCACGGCGGGGGTCGGCTGCGTCACCATCTCGCGCAGGTGTCTGACCTCGGAGGCGCACGGCTCGACCGATTGAAAGAAGGCGGGCTCTCCCACGGGCGCCTGTGCCGACGCGAGGAGAGGATCGGGAACCTGGCGGCGATCTGGGGCGGCCCCGACACCGAGAGAAACAGGATACTGCGGCGGATCAACGGTATCCGCGCGCTGTCGCGAAGAGCCACCGGCTTGAGCCAAAATGGCTACGGAGGAGAGGGGAGGAGGGAGGAGGAAGGAAGAGGAGGGAGGAAGAGGGAGGAGAAGGGAAGAGGAGGAGGAGGAGGAGGAGAAGGTCGGAGGAGGAGGAGGAGGAGGAAAGAGGAGAGGAGAGGAGCAGGGAGGAGCGGGGAGGAGGAGGGAGGAGGAGGGAGGAGGAGAGAGGAGGGAGGAGAAGGGAGGTGGCCAGCGGTGGCCGCACGCCAGCAGGCGGAGGGGGGAGACGCCTCGGAGGGCAGCCCGCAGGGGGGGCTGCGCGGCAAGTACCACGGATACGCACGCTCCCAGATGAAAGGGTCTGAGCCTCAAGGGCTGCTGCTGCACCTTCTCCTCCTCCTCGTCACAAACATTATCACAATCATCGGCATCGGCATCGTAGCCAACATAATGTCAAGTGATGGTCAGCATCACCATCATAATGAGTAGTAGCGTCATCGTCGTCGTCGTAGTCGTCATCATCATCATCATCATCATCATCATCAGCAGCAGCAGCAGCATCAGCATCATCATCATAATCATCAACATCATCGTCAACATCACCATCATCAGCAGCAGCATCATCATCAGCATCACCATCATCGTCATACTCATCAGCATCATCAGCATCATCAGCATCATCATCATCATCATCATCATCATCAGCATCATCATCATCATCATCGTCATCAACCTCAGATTCATCTTCATCACTATCGTCATCATCAGCATCATCATAATCATGAGGATCATCCTCAGCATCAGCATCATCAACATCAGCATCATTATCATCGGCATCAACAACATCATCACTACCACCATCATCATCATCAGCATCACCATCAGCATAGCCATCATCAGTATCATCATCATCATCATCATCATCATCATCATCATCATCATCATCATCATCCTCATCATCATCATCATCATCATCATCATCATCAGCATCGCCGTCATCGTCATCATTGCCATCGTCATCATCAGCATCATCATCATGGTCATCAACCTCAGATTCATCTTCATCACCATCGTCATCATCAGCATCATGATAATCATGAGGATCATCATCAGCATCAGCATCATCATCATCAGCATCATTATCATCGGCATCAACAACATCATCACCACCACCATCATCATCAGCATCATAATCAGCATAGCCATCATCATCATCATCATCATCATCATCATCAGCATAGCCATCATCATAATCATCATCATCATCATCATCATCATCATCATCATCATCATCGCCGCCATCGTCATCATTGCAATCGTCATCGTCATCATCATCAACAGCAACATCACCATCAACATCAACAGCATCATGAATCGCCTTCGGCATCAGCGTCAGCATCAACAACAACATCATCATCAGCAGGATCCGCATAATCGAGATCGGTTTCACCACCAACAACATCACCACCACCAGCGTCATCATCAACTTCGTTTGCATCAGCGTCGTCATCGTCATCGTCATCATCATCAACAGCATCATCATCACCGTCATCATCATCGCAATCAGCATCATCATCATCATCATCATCATCGCTGTCGTCATCATCATCGCCGTCGTCTTCACTACCACCATCATCATCAAAATCGTCATCGATATCGGCAGCACCATCAACACCGTCACCATGTTCATCATCATCATCATCAGCATCATCATCGTCGTTCTCGTCACCAGTATCACCGTCTCCACCATCATGATCACTGTCATCACAAGCATCACCGTCGTCATCGACATCGTAGTCGCCGTCAGCACCATCCTCATATGATGATAGTCATCGTCTTCCTCTTCACCGTCGTCCTCATCCTCAGCATCATCATCAGCATCGTCAGCATCACGAATGACACCCTTGTCATCAATATCGTCATCGTCGTCAGCGCTTTTCTCATATGAAGATGATGCGTACAATCGTCATCTTCGTCCTCATCATCATCATCACCAGCAGCAGCATCATAATCATCTTCGTCGTCGGCATCTTCGTCGTCATCGTCATCATCATCATGATCATCATCAGCAGCAGCAGCACCATCGCCGTCGTCATCGTCATCGTCATCGCCATCATCACCATCATCGCTATCGTCATCGACGTCATCCTCGTCACCAATGCCAGTCTCACTAGAGCATTGTCCGAATAGTCTTAACTCTCATCATGACCCGCATCATCATCATCGTCATCATCATCATCAACAACAGCATCATCATCATCATCATCATCATCATCATCATCATCATCATCATCATCATCATCATCATCATCATCATCATCATCATCATATCATCATCACATCATCATAATCATAATGAGAATCATCATCATGATTTTCATCATCATCATCATAATCATCATCATCATCAGCTTCATCATCATCTCCACCACAATCACCACCGTCATCGTCATAATCACTATCGTCTTCGACATCGTCATCACTGTCATCGCCATCCTCATATTATGCTGAGACGCATCTTCATCATAATCCTTGCCATAATCATCATCATCAGCAGCAGCAGCATCAGCATCATCGTCATCGTCACCATCATCATCATCGTCATCGACATCGTCATCGACATCGTCATCGACATCGTCATCCTCATCTGATGGTGACGATGATCATTATCATCCGTATTATCCTCCTCCTCCTCCTCCTCCTCGTCTCGATGTCATCATCACCACCACCATCATTCTCGATGCGCGTGGGCTCCAGATGAAAGGGTCATGGGCCTCGGGGGCTGCTCGGCGTCCGCGCCTCGCAGTGCTGCTGCGCGCCCCTTGAGCACGCCCCGAGAGGAGAGCCGTCCCTGTCTCCCGTCACCGCCCCCTCCGACGGCGAGGCCGAAGCCCTCCCGAGGCAGCGTGCCCCAGGCGGCACGGCTGAGCGGCGGGCCCTCTCGGAGGGCTCAGCAGGCATCCGGCCTGCCGAGAGGCTCTCTGAGCCCCCGTCGGAGTCACAGAGGAGACGCTGCACTGCTGCAGCAGCACGCGTGATGCGGCTCAATTGCAGGATTCGATGCCTGTCGATGGTCCAGACCACACGCCAGGGCAGTGAAGACTTGAGCAGGTCGGCGTGGACGCCTCCAGCCACGCCGACTAGAAACGCTGGGTGCAGGGGCTCACCGATGAGGAACGCATCCACCTCGAGGTCCACCAGTCTGGTGCTGCCAAGACCCGCACCAGCCTCAGGGATGCCCGGCCGTGCCGCCAGTGCGGGGCATCCAGCCCGAGCCTGCGCCGCCTCTTCGAAGACTGCCCCTCGCGCAGCGAGCTGCGGGCCACGGCCGGCCGCGACCACGAGCTGCCGGCTCGCTTCTGGACCCGCAGGCCCCGTGTCACGAGCAGGAGCGGGTGGACCACCTGCGGCGCCAGCCCCGCGGGGCCGCCGGCGCGCCGAGGTGCAGGTCGCCTGTTGCAAGGTACGCGCAGCAGTCATCGACAGGCCTGCTGGCTGACGAAGCCAACGGCTTCCTGCGGGCAGCGGGCGGCCCTTCCTGATCGGGCGATTTCGTCAGTCCGCTTCTCGCGTTTCTCGCCTCGGTGAATCATCGTTGTTTTCAACACCTCGTTTTAAGAATGCGCGTGCATTCAGTACCATGAGTTGTGTTAGCCGGCGACTTCCTGCCTTCAGTCCAGAGTAAGGCTGATGACATTCACCTGACGTGTGTGAGGAGACGCTGCAGGACGCGGAAGCCACCACCCTCCCTCCTGCAGCCGTCCCTGGACGCGCTTCTCGTGTGCGTCCGGTCGGCCCTCCCAGCCGAGGCAGACCTGGCCGGCGCTTGGCCCCAGATGCATGGGACGACGGCGTGGCCTTCCCCGAGCCGTCCACCTGCAACGCACCATTTTTTGAGTTTGCATGCGATTGACCCTCTACTTGGTGGAGAAGGTGAGGGAAGTGGAACCAACGGAGCGAAGGTGTCCAGGGACAAGAGGCACCAGAGCTACTTCACGGCCATCGGTCTGAGCCTCCGTCGGCCTTTCCTGTCCTCAGTCCAGAGTAAGGCTGATCACATTCACCTGATGTGTGAGGAGACGCTGCACGCCCTCGGGATGGCCCTCCGCGAGGGCGCTCCGCGAGAGGCCCCAAGGAGGGGCGATTTCGACGAGGGCCTTTCGCGGGGCCCTCCACGGGGCGTGCGGCGGAGGCACGCCACGCTCTCGTGAGGAGACGCTGCGATGCTCGCCGGGGCGCGGTCATATTTCCGAGAGGGAAAAGGTACCACTACCTCTACCCGTCCCTCGCTTTCCCCTGTTCAGGGCCTCCGGGGAGGTCCTCGTCGCCACCGCCGGATTCGCCTCGAAACCCTGGGCAGAACGCACCCTGGAGAAGAGGTCTGGGGAGCAGCGGTATCGGTACCTTTTGGCTTCCCCTATATTTGAAGGGGCCCTGGGACACACAAATAAATACACACAAATAAAAATGTTCCCCATATTTTCCTATATTTTCTGGGTTTCTGTCTTCGCCCCCACTTCCCATATTTTCGAATATTTTCTGGGAATCGAGGAATAATTGTGTCTGTGTGTTTTTTCCCCTCTTGAATATTGAGAGGGCAGCGAGGGCGGGGGGGCGGGGGGGTGCCCTCGGAGTCATGCGTGTGGAGGGCTCCTCGGAGGGGCGGAGAGGGCTT